CGAGTACATCAAATTGTACATGGATAACATGTGCACTTACACGCGATTCTTCTATGGGAAACCCATTACTTACACGCACGATTACACCTGATAGTTATACGGGTAACAAGTGGTGTTTAACCTGATCCATGTGATCCTTCCAAATATAGCACGAGTACGTGCTTTCCCTGACTCTACAAGGAGTAACACGTGCACTGTCATCTTATCCTACTAGAGCGAGCACGTGACATCATAAATTCAACTTGATATTATTGTGCTTACACGTGCACTCGTGAGCTCACACCGACCTTACGAGGAGTAAAACGTGCGCTTCCATCTAATCCGACTTTAGGTAATACACGCAACTCTCACAAAACCCTACTAGAGGTAACAGAAGCGATATCATCTTATCCAGACCACCCATGCTTGTAACGTAACCCTACTCGGAGTAAAATGTTGGCTCAAACCTGGCTGTGCTAGGAGTAGCACGTACGCTTACGTAGAACCCTATTAGTGTAACACGTGCACTTACACCCGATCCTACCTAGGGAAACACGTATGGGCGTTTACATTTGATTCTTCTAGAGGTAACACATGCGCGTACACCTGTCCCTAATAGTAGTAACAGATGCGCTTACATCTTCTATTAGAGATGCACGTGCGCTAAAAGGAAGCACGTGCTTTTACAGCTTCTCCTACTATAGAGGTTAAAATTCGCTTACACTTTACCCTCATACAGGTACCACGTGCGCTTTTACTTGACTCTACTGGAGGTAACACATGCGCTTACAGCTCCTACTAGGAGTAACACGTGCGCTCACATCTTCCGTAGGTAGAGGTAACACGTGCGCTCACATCTTCCGTAGGTAGAGGAAACACGTGCGCTCACACCTGTCTTTCAGGTAAATGATACCACTGCATTAGTTACAATCGCGAAGGAGAGTTCGAGTATTCTCCCTTCTATATAGAAAATTGAGCAACCACAGGGAGTTTTTTTACTGGTTTAGAGTGATTTCCCTTGTCAAGTTTTCCATAGGCTTCAAAAATGACTTATTTTGGTGCTGTTCTTTTGTAATTCAAGGATGGCGTCATTGGTAAAGTAAAGGCTTTGCAAAGTTAAGGTCTTGCGTTCGATCCTGCAGTTTTTTATGTGTTTTTTTTTCTCAAACAACTGTAATTTTTTTAAATGCGTTTGCAACATTTTGAAAAGAATGTTAATATTCCACAATAGTAAAAGTGACTAATGAGTGTTGGTACCCGACCTTTAAACCTTTATGCACGCTTATCAGAGCCAAGTATACATGCATGTAGCAGACACGTGCACCTGATTCTGCAATGGAATACACGTACGGAAACGCGCGCATACAAACACACCTGTATATTTCCGCTCTTGTATGTTAGCATGCGTATACATGTAGACAGACGACTGACACAGGATCATATACACGTGCTTTTGTGCATATACACACATATCTATACTTATATATGTCCTGGAACAAGCGCATATGACTCTACACGGGATACTTTTTTGTTTGAGATAGATATTTTTTTATTTGTGATATTTCATATTGATGCAAATGGGAAGGGGAGAATCCATAAAAAACCGTTTAACTAATTCATTATTTATCCCCATTTTCCATTAGTTGCTGCTACAGTATGCGTGTATCCAGTATATATAGCTATATATAATAGGACTGTGTCTCTAACTGATCACGTGACTCGATCAATTAGTCATCAATAATTGATTCCGTACAGACGATACAGACGTAAAATAGAGTTTATATGTACAACATGACTAAATTGATTAAAAGCGATACTGATGTTTAACAAAACATACAAAGAAAATAGTCGTACTGTCAATGCTTAAACGGGGCAACAGGTGTATATTTGTTTATTAGACATTTAAAGCGGTTTTAAATAAAAAAAGTGTTGTACATATTTTGTTTGACAGTATTTACCAATGTTATTGCACAAAAACGTCTTTTACCTATTTATGTTTTGTTTAATTGAAGACCAAATAAAAATGTTGTTTGTTTCCGGTTACCCGACCTACCCTATTTTTGTATCTATCCTAAATTTTAGTCCTATTCAACCAGACGCTTAATCACTTGCCTCTGTTCGGCGTAGCTTGCGCAGACAAAAGGAGTCTGGTTGAAACAATACTAGCTTAAATTTCGGTTCGACCGGTGTCACGACTAATTAGCCGCAATATGCCGAGTCGGTACACCCTGCTCGAGTCATTTCACCATTATAGATCTCTAATACGACTGGCAGTCAGAGGGACGGGTAATATTAGTGGATTGGAGAGTTGTTTTCAGTGGCCTCGAGTCGAAACGCCGGTCATTTGCACTCTTTGTCTGACACGGGAAACAGAAATTTTCGCCGGAAAGCTTGCAAAATAAGTTTTCAATTAGGCCTACTGCTCGTGTTCAAAACAAACTCAGCATGTATGGTAAATTTGTAGATATGTTTAGGTAAAAAATATAATTACAAAAATATTGAAGATATTTTCGTGTATTTGTTAAAATTATATTACAAGTAACATATGTGTCATATTGATAAAATACTTATATTCTTTTTTGTCTTTCAAATAATGGTTTCATATAAGGACATATTCGCGATGCAATATTTGTATATGTGTTTATTCTACTAAATGCTGCTTATCTGTTTTCGTGTTTCAGATATATTCTATGCATGCTGTCGATAATGTATTAATAATTAACTGAAAAAATCATACACCCCATAAGACTATCTGTCCATATAATTCCCATTTGTTCTACGAGAATAATGAATAGTTTATAAACACAGATGTGTTTAACTTTATTCAGGACACTATCGAAAATGTTAACCTGGACACTGGCCAATATCATGACTAATTGATTTCGTTAATTGGTCGTGTACATTAGTAATAAGAGATATGAATACTTACAGTAACAATCCATCTATAGCATACTGCCATCCTGGTACGAAATACAAGCCGCTTCCTACCGACTTGGCTAGGTAGAATTTTCTCTTTAGCTCATTCGGAAGAGCGTAGGACTAGTAAACCGGAGGTCCCGGGTTCGACTCCTAGCGGAGGCATTATTGAAATCACGATAATGACCTCCGTTACAATATATTTGCATTCTACTGAAATCTAGCCGTATTTTCACTCTCATACGAGGGGTAGTGGAATGCTAATATAGAATATAACTCTTAAGGAAGTCAATTCTTTAAAACTGGAATTTGTAGTAGCCTTGACACCAGACTTAGACATTTTGACATATAGATGTTCCCACACCACACATCTAAAGTCTGGTGCCTGGATTTGGTAGCAAAATTGTTTACCTGCAGTGTCAGTAGTTTTACTTGCTCAAACATAGTCACCGTATAATCTCTTGTACATATTTAACCTATGAGGAGTCGGATGGCTATCGGAAATAAAGAAACTGAAGCTGAAACTGAATGTTGAGTTCTTGTTAATGTGTTTCTCTATGCTTTGTATTGTATTGTATTGTATTGTATTGTGTTGTATTGTATTGTATTGTATTGAAATTAAAATTGAATTGAATTTTACGGCAAAACTCCTGGAAAAAGGACTGCATCAGTAATAGCGCTGTTTACAGAAGCTCGTTAATTAGACGTATACATTAAACAGTACCTCTCTCATCAGACTACTGAGTATTTAGACGAACCTTCTAATCCAAACTATTGCTGTAATCCTGTTTCTTATTTTCAAGATCAATTTCGATCATAAAACTGAAAAACTACCATTACAACCTTTGTATTCTGACCGCCTGTGTAATATTACAAATACATGTACCTGTATAAAGTGTCACAACGTGTCGGATTGGACAGGTTTTCTATATGTTATACTTCACCAAGACCAAAATAGCTTTAATGCGGACTAAGGTTTTAATGTGCAAAATGTATTTTTGGTGATTCTGAATCAATCTATATTTCATATGAACTGGATAAACATTCATATAGTAGTTTTCTTTCCCAATTTCATTTTTTTTCCGAAAATTATTATACTTTGAAAAATAATTTCAAAAAGGAAAACATAAGAGAAAAAATATATGTTTAACAGGTCAATTCGTCAAAAGGAGGAGCATCTGAATTCAATGAGAAATCGCTTTGAAGATTGAAGGTCTTCACACAGGGAAAAGTTGACTCACGGCAAGACAAATGCAGTTTTACATTTTTGTTAAATAGCAGATTAAAATATATTATTTGGAAAATGTACTTTCTACGCGTAGCTTAAGGGTCCCTGTTCCATTGCATTGTGGTTTTTCCTATATACAGTAACCTCCCCTTAACTTCTGTTTGGATATAACTGTAGCGTAACTGACCAGAACACATCTGTTGACGAGGAAGCTCAATCGGTTAGAGCGATATAGTATATCAATCATAAGTCGAGGTTTCGAATCCCGGTCTAGCCCCGCTGAGTTTTTTTTGTTTTTTTACATTCAGAACACCGTTGTTAATTATATTTTGTTTATTTCATGTTTATTATTTCTCATCGAATCCCCTTAAGGTACGGTTTTATTTTCAGAAATAATTTATCAAAGTTATAGTCATACAAGAAAAAACAGTTTCCCCACATTTAGTTACAGTTTGTGGCAGTGGTACGGGGATCCTCATTTAAAAAAAAAAAAAAAAAAATTACTATTTTTTTTTTTTTACATTTTTTTGATTTACCGACCTTGATAAATAATCTTATATACCAAGAAACATATGTGCTTTCGGCAACTCTTCTCGAAGAAAAAATTGAAGCATGGCTTGATAAGCTGGCACAAATTAAATTGCAAGCAAACTCGCTTAAGAATAAGATTATTTGCTCGTTCAATCGTTTGGTGTTATTTTAGTTTATCGACTAGTTGGTTATTCAGATAGCAGAATTTACCTGATATTACGATCAATAGAACCACATGTACATTAGCACACAAAAAATTAACAGCTACACTCAAATCAATTAAGTTTTTTAATGGGAATAATGTGTTTTAATATTGATATAGACACAACGCTTATCAAGAACAACATATCACATATCCATACCAAATTGTAATTTCAATGGTAAATAATGGAAACGAAAATATACACAGTACAATGTGAATAAAATGTTTTAAAATAATTCTACACAACCAAAATTTGAAGAACTTTCTAATCAATATATTTTTTTAATTAGTTATATCAGTTAACACGAACTGAAAGAGTTGCTATATCACTTCAGATCTTCGAGGGTTTTAATTTTTAATTTGAAATGTGTCAGTTTATTGAAAAATCGATATATTGAATCCGATTATCGATCCGTCTATTGTCAGTTTTCGGATCAGATGTTAAATTAACAATGGATTTCACAGGCTTATGCAACGCATGTGTCCATATGGCGAGTCCTTATGGACCCTAAATATCGCCTTATATCGCACTAAGCTAGTACACCACTAATTAACCAATCAGTGATACGGTAACAATAAAACACATTCTTCAATTGATATCCAATCAAAATGCTCGATTCAATTCAACTTCAATGGATTGTTTTCAACACTGACACATTTGTTTTGGGAGTATAAGGTGTTATCGTATATCCCGATTAAGGAAAAAAAATCCAATAGATCCTTGTTATACATTTGGAAAGATATCTAATAATTTCCAAGTCCGAATGAATTCGGTTTCATGGTGTATTGTTCAAACATAACATCATACTGACAAGCCGAGTTTAGAATCCGTTGCGGGTAGGAGGTCCAGTTATTATAAATATGCTATTATGAATTATAATCCAATAATATTTTTTTTGTCCTAAAATCACAGTTCACTGTAAGCTCGTACACGTGGTCTGTCCCATTTACACTGCCACGTGCACACACGTTCTTTGGAGAAACAAAAGAAATAAGAAATAATGCACTATGAACAATGATCGATTGAGCAAGTCACCAGTGAGATTAATACTATTATGATATGAATAACTGTGTCATATGTATTCTTCCCGATGTTCGTGTTATTTTTATAGATGGATAATATGCGCGTTAAAATCATGCACATTCCCACAAACCTTACCGCACATATTGCACTGCCACGGTGTGTTGACGTTATGGAGGCCCATGTGTAGATAATAGAGGGTCCTGTTAGGGAAAATGATTTCACAGTATTTACACATGTGCAAATCTTTGTTTTTCATTAAAGCTGACATGATGTTTGGTTCCTTCCCGTCTGATGCCATATACGGGCATCCGACAAGTTGCGATGCTGACCCAGATGCTACAATTTCCGGTGTCTTGAACCCTAGCAACCCTTCGAGACTGTCCTTACCATGCAACGTCTTTCTGGTTGTTAAGGTTGGGTCCGATAACTGTCCTTGATTCAAACTTTCGCTTACTTTACTATTCTGTCCTTCGTTTGATTTTCTTTCCTCGCGAGTAGTCTCTTGTGGTCGACATGGCTCCTGCGCGGCAAAAATGAAATCTGTTGGTATTCCTGCCATCTGACTGGCGGAAGGTAAACATCCTGTTGATGCCGCCCGTTCGCTAGTTCCCGGGAATTCTTGACAATTCACACTAGGGGCGCTTGCACTTCGTGTCCAGCCTGGCTCATGTTGACCCTCAGGTAGTTGATAAACACCTTCCGTAGTTACGTTGTTTCTAGCATGGTTACCGTGCACCTGACGTAAGGTTTCGTCACTCTTTGGTGGTAACTGAAATTGAGGTTCAGTAAATTGAGTGTCGTTTTCTTTCTCGCGTTTATCTGTCTGGGGGTCGACACGTGGCGTACGAAGGTCAATGGACACGTTAAGGTCTAAAGGTCCATTGTTTTCCTTTCCACTGGACGTACTTCCAAAAGAAATAGTTTTCTTAGCTGCTAAGTCCAAAGGTTCATTAGTATCGATATCCAGCGATGTCCTGATCGAACTCTCGTGATGTCTCCGAAATCTTGCGTTGTCCAGAGTCTCTTGAATGCGGCTATTCAGGCGCATTGCTTCTGTGACTGATGACGCAGATTGACTCACCGACGTCTCATGATCCCTCATGTGCGTTAGCACGTGCATTGCTAGGGCATCCCGGTTTACAAACGATTGTCCACAATGATCACAGTAAAGGACTTCCGTTTGTAGTGTCAATAGTCTGTCATGCGCATATGGTGAGAAGTATTTCATGACGCGGGAGGATGAAGGCGGAGACGGAGTTTTGTTGTACTGAGCTGAACTTACGGCAGGCTGTGATGACGTCATACCATCCGAATGACGCGACATCACGTGCATAGCCAATGAATCCTGGTCATCAAATATTTGCTCGCAGACGACACATTTTCTACCTTCCTTGATCGCTGCACGTATATTATCAATTCCAAAAGGTTCTGAATGGTTTGTGTTATTGTTATTTTTAGCCAAAACAGACTGAAGATATTCGTCCTTTTCTGCATGTGACGTTACATCGATGTAGTACGCCTGATGAAGTCCGGGAGGAGAGCTCGTGTCTATCTTTACCCTTCCGTGCTCCTCTGGTGATCCTGTGATTGACACCGGGGACTTTGAATGGTCGCCGTTGGTCGTGCCAGTTCCCGAATTCAACATGTTCATTTCCGCCGACGATTCTCCGCCATTTAACAATTTACAAGACTCGTTTTTCACGCGCATCATCACGTGCATGGCGTAGGAATCTCGATTTCCAAACACCGTGCTACAACAGTCACATTTAAATGACGGCTGCATCAAATCTCGGCTGCTGAAACCGGAAGCTGCATTTAGGAAATAGCTATGTAGGGCATTTTTACTAAGACTGTTTGACACCCGCGTGCTTAGGTCCCTATCAACCGTTGCTAGGCCGGGGTGTGAATTATGACAAGATGTATGATTGAAGAAATCTTTCAAAGTTCTAAACCGCGCGAAACAAACTTGACAAGTATGGCGGGCAAATCTACTGGACTGACGACGATTGCTAGGCACGTGCTTATGCACGAGAGATAAATGAATCATGAGTTCATTCTCAGTGTCAAAAGCATCATCACACAGCAGGCACTGAAACTTACCTAGCTTTCCTAGGATTTTTGAACCCTCTGAATTACTCCTGTCCGAGTGTTGGCCGTCCCTCGGAGTTCCTGTGACGTAATCATCAGCGAATATTTCGACGTCACTAGCTTCAGTCACATTGTAACGTTTCCGTTTCTCTGATATGGTTTCCGTGATTCCGTCCAATGATTCTTTTCTTTTTTCACCCCGTTCACTCTCCGGTCTCGATGAAATCTCGGAGAGGGGGTCTGAAGAACATGACAACTGTTCTGTGCACGTTTTACCAAACTGCTCGCAGCCAAAATCTTCCAAAGGTTCTTGTTTGATATGTATTTGAAGTTCACCAGCTAACTCCATTTTGATTTTAAAGAAAGTTTATTTCCTTATATAAACACAATTATTTTCTTGAAAGAAGGAAAGAAAGAAAAACCTTTCACAGAAAGTTTCTAAATCCTTTTCAACAAGTTGTAAAATTCCGGATTCCGTAGTTAATGTGTGCGATTTTGCTCCTTTTACTAGCGCGCCTGTTACGTCACAGATATCTCTTAACAAAATCAATTTTATATAATCCTTCCCAAGGTCGCGTTTCACAGCATGACTGTATATTTTTAAGTCTGATAAAATGTTTTTTCCATCATCCTCGAATATTTAAAACAGGATTTCCCGTTTCAGTGTTAATAGTTTGAGAAATACTATGTAGATTTTAGAGAGTTATACGAAGTCTCTTAGTGTCGGGGTACCATTACCTCTCGCTTCGTATAGTCTGCTGGTACTGAGCTCAATATACCGTCTGTGTTAGTCCTAACCACGTTTCTATCGCCTAAAACTCTATGCTGATAAATAATTCACATGAATTCCTTTCCCGTAGTAAATTATTAGTTTCACTGCATTCTTAATCATTTTACTCCATGAAGGTTATTTGAAAAGCGTCCGCCGCACCATGAATAATTAATGTCGGTAGCGCGCTTGCGTCTATAGGAGTCGATATCACATACAAGGGGCTTACAGGGCAGGAACCAGGTATTGTTAGACGGAAACAATACACCTGAGTAGCGAAGCGATAATATTTTAGAAAACAGCTGGTTAATTCTTGTGTAGTATTTGTAAACTAAAGTTTCAACATACAAATTAATATGAGCTTTGTATCGATGAGGGAAATGTGACTACAAATTTTGTGAGCTGACTGTATGTATTGATGTGGGCGGGCGAGTTACATTCGTGTTGAATGTTAAAGAATCCATTATTGGCAACAGTATAAATAATTAAACGTACCTTTAATTACACGTCACCTGAGTCGTGTCACTTGCGCACATGTAAAGAAAAAAATAGATTATTTCCAAGATATGCGCATGCGTAGTGTCCTGTGCAAAAAGAGCCTTACATCCGGTCCGATATAAACTGTAAACTAGATCCCTATTAAGGCCTAGGTGGGAATTAAATTTTGCAACGCGGTAATAGCATTGTTATAAAAAGAAACACCAAGACATTTATATATTTATTTCATGTAAAATCTAAGGATAATTCATGATGAAGTTGATACCGTATTTTTACACCAACAAAACAGCATATGGTCTGCCGTACTTAATATCGTATACCTACTCTGGGGCTCTCGATAAATCTATTATCTGTGAAAGGTAATGAGATACTTATACAATGATATACATGTGTTATCCAACTGTCCTTGATATACCTGCCAACAGAACATATAAGTGGTTGTGGCGCCATCTGTGATCACGTATTAACGTGATATGCACTCCCAACAGAGGTAAATAGTAGCATTAGTTTACTGAGGATAACAAAGTGACTGCACTATTTAATGCACCTGTAAGTGCACATTTCGTTTTATTTACAAACATAAATTATAAATTGTACAATCCGATAATAATAATAATAATAATAATAATAATTCAAGGTTTTTATATACCACTTTATCACAACCTAGTTCGTAGGTCGTCTCAAAGCGGTTCACAAATTATTATCCGTGGTTATAGGGCTTGCAAACAGCCAATATCTTTCTCAACTCCCTGGGGAGCATACAGCCGGTACTGCCATTTCGCCGCTCACAGCTAGCATTCAACAATTCTAGTACTGCCCAACCGCGTACTCATTTACAGCTGAGTAGACTGGAACAAGCGGAGTAAAGTATGTTGCTGAAAGAGACAACACAGTGCCGTGACTTGACTCGAACCCGCGTCCCTTCGGTCACGAGCCCGGCGTCTTACCACTAGAGTTGCAAACTTCTGGTTGTATCACGGAAACACGTATACAATACCCATGTATCGTATACATGAAAACACATACTGCACTATCGAAGTACACCTGTACACTGCACTCCTAAAGAACAATCGTGCAATGCATTATGGAAGTTCACGTGCAGGGTGTTCAATGAAAATGCACGTAAATGCTACACTGTTGAAATACACGTGTGTACTGCACAATGGAAATACACGTATACACTGCAATTTTGAAGTACACGTGTATACTGTGAGTTGCAGTGTAACTTACATGAAGGATGTATAAGTATGAAACAACAGTTACATTTTTTACGTTCTATTTTATCGAAGTGCGTGTGTGTAATATATAAATGGAAGCACACGTGTATTATATACTGATGAAGCTTTTACGTACATAAACACACTTGTACACTGCACTATGGAAACACGTGTACTTTGCACTATTGAAGAAGATGTGTATACTATTGAAATACACGTGTTTATTTCATTTTGGAAATACACGTGTATAGTGCACTATAAAAATACATCTTTTCACTGCACTATGAAAGTTCACGTGTATATTGTGTTATTGAAATTCACACGTACACTGCATAATGGAATATACACGTGTACACTGCAATTTAAAAATACACCTTTACACTGCCCTATTGAAATACACACGTACACTGCACTATTGAAATATTTTGAATCTTATAGGACATGTACATTTTATGTTAAGGTGAAGAGTACCAACACGTATTCTACATTATGTGTGCATTCACTAAACATATACAATGTAACGTTTTCCTGTATTACGTCTTTCAATGATATTTAGAAATGTGCAAATAGATTTAACTGAATGATTTTTATATTTCCATAGTAAATATTTTAAAATAAAAATTATTATTAGAAAAAAATAAAAATGAAAAAACATTAGCTATATAGATCGATCAACTAGCAAAGTAACTATCACGTGACCTTGGTTGCTGTCCGGAGTCACTCGTATCAATTGATGAAGAGTGCCGGAATCAGCCGAGGTTAGCCGAATGATCCGGAGTTGGAAAAGTATGTAACAAGTATCCAACTTATGGAAACAGGGAACAAAAAAAACAGTTAACAAATTTAGCCAAATATATTAAACTGAGTAATAAGAAAAGAAAAGACTATGTACCTATATAAAGAGGGATGTCTCTCTACACTATACCAATGGGTATGTGAGTGTGTATTTGTGTGTGTTGGTGTATTTGTGGGGGTGTATATGGGTGTGAGTGATTGTATTGTTTATCCTTGTATATATGTTTATTTTGAACTGATGAGCCGTAAGGTTCAATGTAATAAAGAACTGAACTGAGCTTTAAACTCGTTTTCTATAAACACGTTTTCTGTTATCACGTGTGCTGCACGATAATGCGTCATTTACACGTGTTCTGAGCTGTGCTGTAATTACCCGCGCCCTGTTAACACGTATTCTGTATGGCAAGTAGACATGTACTGTCAACATCTGTACATTGATCACGTGTACTGTACTGTTAAAACGTGCACTGTAAACATATGTACTTTAATCACGTGTACGGTAAACATGTGTATTTTAAAAACGTTATGTTATTGTTGTTTTCGTTGTAATAAATAATAACAAATTGTACATAAATAAATACATCATTGATCGCATATGATACTTGGCCTCGTGATTAGTGCTAATTGAGGATTTACACGAAAATAATTATCACGTGGTTTGTAAGTAATCATATACAGCATACCACGTACGTAATACGACCGTATTCTGATATAAGAAAGTTCAAATTTTACAGATACATGTACCTAAATATGTGTAGATGTATTTGCTTACATTATATAGCAGTTAAGTGAATGCGGCCATGATTTTACTTGCATAAGTTTGGAATGCATTGCGCACTTACGAATACTGCAGTTATTATGCTACATATGTAGTAGGACTTGTATTACAATGTTTAAGTAAAAAAGGGGTAGGTAGCAAGCCATATGGTGAGAAAATGGATGGACCAAACAAAAGGCAGTGAGCATGCATATTTAATTTGTTCAAAATAATTAAATATTGATAACTTTGATAAAAGATGGCAATCGCAATGCTAATGTCAGTGCGATAAAATGCGAACACATTAAATATTTAAGGGAGAATTGCTATTAATTATTGATTGGGCAGAAGGCAAAGCCGGACTCACATGAACCCAGCTTCTCCGGGTAGGATTTTAGTTTGCAAACGCCTCGTCCATTCATCAGACGCAAGAGTTATATTTTTGTGGTTTAATGTGAATATTGTATAATATTTCAGCCCTGATATTATATATATGCGTGACCGTATACATTATATATATATATATATATGTTTTTGTAAATTGACTGGGAATTATTGTTAACATGTGTTATGCTTTTTTTAAGGTGGATGGTTTCGTTATATAAACAGTTCAATTTTAAGATAATTTAAAAATTTATATTATACCTTGCTTAACAAGTTGACTGTATCAAATTATTTGCGTTATCTCTTCATCACCCCGAAATCATTATTTATACATGGAGATATATATCTATTTATGATTGATGTATATTTCATAAGTTGTTGTTTTTGACTCCAAGACTACTTATCGTTGCAATTCTTTTCTTGCAGTATTTATTCTCTGTAAACAATAAATCTCCAATATTTAATGTCTGTCTCGGTAAATTCTCGCAAGATATTGAGATTCGCCATCGGCTGACTACAATCATTAACGCGAAAAATATATATCTAGTGAAAACGGTCACCGCTAGTCATAAATATCGAAATGCATGTCTACCGTTAGTCATGCATACCGTAATTCATGTAAACCATTAGTCATATATACCGTAATAAATGTAAACTATTAGTCACATATACCGTAATTCATGTCTACCTTAAGTCATATACCATAAATCTTGTCTACCTTAAGTCATATATACCGTAATTCATGTATACCATAAGTCATATATACCATAATTCATGTCTACCATTAGTCATATATAACGTAATTCATGTCTACCATCATTCATATATACCGTAATTCTTGTAAACCATTAGTCTTATATACCGTAATTTAGTTCTACCTTAAGTGATATATACCGTAATTCTTGATAATCATTTGTCATATATACCGTAATTCAATTCTACCTCAAGTCATATATACCGTAATTCATGTCTACCTTAAGTCATATATACCGTAATTCATGTCTACCTTAAGTATTATATACCGTAATTAATGTCTACCCTAAGTAATATATACCGTAATTCATGTCCACCTTAAGTCATATATACCGTAATTCTCCTTACACTCCTTCGAAGCCAATGCCGACAACTTGTCGCACAAGCGGAATTCTGATCGAATAAAATATCAAGAACCGGAAATAGTGACACACAATTAAGGTAGTTGATTGTATATACATGTAGTTCTTGGTTAGAGTCCCCGTAGATCGCCGAGAAAAAAGTCCCACAAATATTAAGTTATGTTCATGCAGACGACAGTCTGTGTTCCGCGAGAGTACAGGGAACCATCGATCGTACACGGCTGCCGCGTCGATTACATGGCAGACAGTATTGCATGTCTAATGCGCTCCGTTAATAATTTATTTCCGACCGAATTGAGACAAACTCATCATAAGTTTGCTGTTTCCAAAAAACTGCTTTTGTAGGAATTGTAGACAATTCGATACTGGTTTATTA